GCTCGACGGAGGTATGAGGAGGATACGAGATACAAGTACCATTCTCCTATCCCTGTCTTGGGGACTTATATTAGAGAAAACGGAGTGTAGCACAGGGCTAACTGTGATATACACTCGTACAGCACAATAAACCTGAAACAAAAAAGCTATTTTCTCTATATAGATTACCACACATAGCAGCATATGTGTAGAGAACCTGGGATAACCCAAAAAAAGTCAGACAATGTGGCTTATTTCTAGTACCTGGCTTGGGTTAGCCATATATGATTTTTGGTAAATATTTGATTCCCAGCCAGAGTAGAAACATTGGGCATGTTTCTTTACACCTGTTGTCTATGTTCACCCATCAGTAAATGGGTACCTGGGTGTTAGTTGACTGGTGTGGGTTGCATCCTGGGACACTGACCTAATTTGCTTGAAATACTCTGCATAACAAGCAGCTTTCTATAATATAGTAGTATGTCACTGATGTCAGCTATGTCTGTATCCCAAGTACATGTACGTGTAGTAAATTATTATTATTATTATTATTATTATTATTATTATTATTATTATTATTATTATTATTATTATTATTATTATTATTATTAATTATTATTATTATTATTATTATTATTATTAATTATTATTATTATTATTTTCTCATTTGTTTGTTGGGTTATCTTATTAAAACTTGGGCAATGTATGATGGAAAGATACTTCTTAATGTACACCAAAAATGAAAGAAATCAGACCATAAATAGCGGAGTTCACTTCTCAGCTATTAGCGGCCGCTTAGCGGTATATTTTTGTATGGTTTTTATGGCTATATTCTCAATTTTTTGGTCTCATTTGATAGAATGGAAGATATATTACAGAAATAGATATGATTTTGATTGCTTTCAATGGCAAAAAGTACCTTGAAATTGCGCTCACAGTAGCAGAAAAGTTCTATTCTTTAGCGATGCTCGAGTAAACAAATGACATCACTGTCCAATACCTGTCCGCCTGCCAGTCCAAATTCCAATACGGAGTTAAGAATGGGTTGACGTTATTTATACAATTATTACAATAATGCAGTAGTCTGCATAACAGTAAATCTATTTTTTTGTATGAATAAAAATTCCAAATGCTATGCAAGAATAATATAAGAGGGGCCTGGATCCATGACTAATGAACAGAGAAAATGTTATTTTAGTGCCAGGAATGTCTGCATTGTCTATTCTGGACCCTGTTTTGAAATTGGCATCAGTGAAATTGGCCAAATTGCCAATTTCTGACCACTTTATTGGGTAGTTGAAATAGGTGAATGGGCGGTTTCTTGTACTCAGTCGACAGACTAGAAGTAAGTAAGTTTATTCAGGTACTATACACAAATACAGTTACATAGATTATCATACATATCAGTGTATGTATAGAGAACCTAGGATAACCCAAAAAAGTTAGACAAAGTGACTTATTTCCAGTACCTGGCTTGGGCTTGCCATGATTTTTGGTAAATATTGTTTTTTTCTCAGTTGTTTGTTGGGCTATCTCACTGAAACTTTTGCAATGTATGATGGAAAGATGCTTTTTAACATACACCAAAAATAAAAAAGATGGACGATAAACAAGGGAGCTCACTTCTCAGCCATTGGCCGCCTCTTTGTGGTATATTTTCGTATGGTTTTTATGGTTGTATTCTCGTTTTTTTGGTCTCATTTGATAGAATGGAAGATATATTACAGAATTAGATATGATTTTGATTGCTTTCATGATGAAAAGTACCTTGAAATTGAGCTCAAAATAGCGGAAATGTTCAATTTTTGCCGATGTTCAGTGAACTTTGTGCAAGTCAAGTTGGTTAATTTTATTAAGTGTATTCTAACCTAACCACTCTGTAATCCGGCAAACTCAGTAATCTGGCACACTACAGGTCCCAATGGTGCCGGATTTGTGATGGAGGACCTGTATTTTCCTGGGTAAAAACTGAGAGGAAGTAAGTACTGAAAACTTCACACATATCCTTATCACTGTCAGTGATCTGACCTGAGTTACTCTTAAGTGGGCCCATCTTGTCCCTAATCTTACTTCTGTATACCTGAAAGAACTCTTTTGGGTTAGTCTTCGAATCCCTTGCAACCTTAGCCTTATAATCCCTTTTTCCTTTTCTTATTCCATTTTTTATTTCTCTCTTTAATTGAATATACTGATTTCTTAACTGCCCATCCCTCTCTTTTGATACACCTATACGTATATGCCTCTCTTTTGATCAATGAGATGTTGTAATCTATTGTTTATCCATTTGAATCATTTTTGTTAGATCTAATTTCCCTACTCCGACCAAAAGTTGTCTGGGCAGCTAGAACTGTGCTCTGAAAAACATTATACAGTGGACCTCCGGTTAACGATATTTTTTCATTCCAGAAGTATGTTCAGGTGCCAGTACTGACCGAATTTGTGCCCATAAAGAATATTGTGAAGTAGATTAGTCCATTTCAGACCCCAAAACATACACGTACAAACGCACTTACATAAATACACTTACATAATTGGTCGCATTGGGAGGTGATCGTTAAGCGGGGGTCCACTATATTGACAACCAAGATCACCTACCTGACCCAAAGTCAGGTCATTCCAATTTAGCCCACCCACATAATTTTTCAGTCCCATGAAACTGGCCAAGCAAAAGTCTGGGACAGACATTTGATTGCAGTTATCTGGGTAATTCCATGATATATTGAAACTAAGTGATTTGTGATCGCTTACCCCTGGCTCATCATTAACCTCAAGATTAGTTATTCTTTGTTGGCAAGAACCAAGTTAAGTAGATAGTTTCCTCTAGTTGGTTCTGTCACAAACTGTTTTAAAAAGCAATCCTGAAACGTATCAAGAAAGTCACTAGATTCAAGATTTCCTGTCATATTGTTCCAATCAATTTTTCTTAAGTTAAAATCTCCCATTAATACAACATTCTCATATCTTGATGCCTTATGAATTTTGTCCCATAACAGCTTACTGCACTCCCTATCAAGGTTTGGGGGTCTATAATCACACACAAAGTTAATTTGTCACGACCCTTGAAAAAACTGTAGCTAAACAGATTCTGTGTCCGATGTTTCTAATCTTATATCATGTCTAAGACAACAATTTATATTTTCTCTGACATACATTGCCACTCCACCATCCTTCCTGTTGACCTTCTCAGTGTGGAATAGTTTATAACCCTGTATGTTGCATTCAGAAGGCATTTCTCTATCTTTCAGGTTGAATCATGTCTCTGTTATAGGGAGCTAGTCACTCGTTGCCCTCTACTATCTCCCTTCGTTGTTGATCCATTGCTTTGCCTTTATTAGAAACTTTATTTTGAATATTGTCTTTTAAACATATCCCTGAGGTATCCCGGTAATATCTGCTGTTTTCAACCCTAATACTGCAGCTTGATTGTTTCCCACAAACACCCATACCTCCATAATCTATCAGTTTAAAGTCCTAGACAAGTCATCAATTACCCCCTCAATCGAACTGGCTACAGCAACCACTCCAGCCCCAGAGAGATGAACCCCATCCTTTGCATATGTATAACGTTTGCCATAAAATGTCCCAGTTATCAATGAATGTGATTGCAAGTTCCTTGCAGTACCTGTCTAGCCAGCAATTTATACCAACTGCTCTAGATATTCATTCACTGCCCACTCCCTTTCTTGTAGCCTTGCCATGCCTTACCACACTGTGTGTGCCAGTTTGCTTCCTGAATTTGTCGAACCAGCCTCTGCTGGCCTTAAATTCACTAACAGCAGCACTCGTTCCAGGCAATTTCTTTGCGAGATCCGCATGCACCTGCCTTGCCTTTTTGCAAATTATTGTCTCCAAAACACTATCTCCTACTAACTGTTTTTCATTGATCCACACCAACAACAGCTTCTCAACATCTTCGATTGTTTGCGATCTCTGTTTCATTAGTACATTTACCCCCTTTGCAACATCAGCTTCCTTGATTTTTTTTTTTTTTTTGCCAGGATGGAACGGATCTTTGATGCTGACTTCCCATACATCCTGGCAAGATGGTCTATGTGTATGCCACTTTCGTATTTTACCTGGAGTTTACCTGGAGAGAGTTCCGGGGGTCAACGCCCCCACGGCCCGGTCTGTGACCAGGCCTCCTGGTGGATCAGAGCCTGATCAACCAGGCTGTTGCTGCTGGCTGCAAGCAAACAAACGTACGAGCCACAGCCCGGCTGGTCAGGAACCGACTTTAGGTGCTACGCGTTCTTGCTACGAGTTCTTGAATTCTATTGTTTCTCGCCTTCTTTATCAAAGGGCTGGCACTCGGAACTTTCTTTGGCCCATGGTGGCTTATTTAGCAGTCGCACTCAATAAACAAGCACCAAAAACAATGATTACGGAATGATGCTCACTCAACGAGAAACGAAGGCAGACTGAGTCACAAACGCATGGGATGCTTTGTGTGGGCGCTTGAGTGGCCGAGTCACGTAGATGTGTTTGATACAGACCATTTTCAACTCTACGAAAACCGAGTAGATGTATGAAAACTTGGACAAAATTTTGACGAAAAAAGTTGTTAAAAACCGAATCCTACGAAAACTGGGGCATATGAAAACCAAGGTTCCATTGTACTAAAACAAAGATTTTTTTTTTTTACTTTCTGGTAACCCATCTGTTATGATGGGCCTCACTCTTGCCATAAATTACATTGTACTCAAAACCGACCTCACTCAGGAGATAAGTTAAAGAATAATTCATACATTTTTCCTGCCCATCAGTGCATACTGCAATTTTAATTTACAGTATCAAGTAAAAAATTTTGAAAAAAAAAAAAAAAAAAAAGGCATCAAATGGGTTGGTAGCCTAGGATTTTAACACATTTGATCTAGATAATGGGTTTAAACCCACATGAAATCATCTTTGCACAATTTGTTACCTTCACAAACACGTGATATCTCAATTTCCAATGCCAAGTATTACTAACTCATACTAAGCATTATGCATAGAAAATAAAACTATCAAATATTTACACATACCTCATTTTCACTATCTGACCCAGAGCCTGAGAATTGATCAATTTCATCTCCAGACTCTATTGTTCCTGGACCAAACTCCAAATCCACCTTCTTCCTCACAGACCCAGAATTCACCTTCTTCCTCACTGTCCCAGAATTCACCTTCTCACCCAGTGCTTCAGAATCCATCTTCTGAAGAGCTTCAGAATCCATCTTCTTAAGAGCTTCAGAATCCATCTTTTCAAGAGCTTCAGAATCCATCTTCTCCACAGCCTCAGAATCTACCTTCTTCCCCATGGTCATCATTTCACCTGATTATAAAACAAAAATTACATCATTATATTATAAACAACAGATATATCAGATTATTTTTTAGTTGTAGCTACAGTTAGAGTAAAAGGTACATAGGATACAAGGAGAATGGAATGAGCAAGTAAGAGAGAGATGAAGGCTTATAAACTAAAGGAGGCAGTTAGGGAAAGACAAAAACAACTATTGGAGGAAAGATAGGCTAGTGAGAGTATAGACAATGAGGATGAAGAGGTATGGGGTAGATATGAAAATGTAGCATTAAGAGTGTTCAGCAGAAGTTTGTGGTTACAGGAAAGTGGGTGAGGGAGGGAAGGAGAGCGACTGGTGGAATGATGAGGTAAAGAGAATACGTATAAGAGAGAAAAAGTTAGCATATGAGAGGTTTTACGAAGCAGAAGTGATACAATGAGGGAGGAGTATATGGAGAGAAAAAGAGAAGTTAAGAGTGGTGAAGGGATGTAAAAGGAGAGCAAATGAGAGAGTGAGTGAGATGCTATCAACAAATTTTGTTGAGAATAAGAAAAAGCTTTGAAGTGTGATTAATAAGTTGAGAAAGCCTGGGAAACAAATGGATTTGACAGGAGAGTTATTAGATGGAGAATTAGAGGTATCGGGAAGGAGAGAATATTCTGAGGAACTGTTAAATGTTGATGAAAATAGGGAAGCTGTAATTTTGTGCATTGGGCAGGGAAGCATAACTAGGAGTGAGGAAGAGCCAGCTGTGTGTGTGGGGGAGGTGTGTGAAGCAGTGAGTAGAATGAAAGGGGGTAAAGCACTTGGGATTGATAGGATAAAGACAGAAATGTTAAAAGCAGGTGGGGATATAGTTTTGGAGTGGTTGGTGCTTTTATTTAATAAATGTATGAAATGGGAAAAGGTACTTAGGGATTGGCAGAGAGCATGCATAATTCCTTTGTTGAGAATACCTGGTAAAGTATGGTAAAGTTATTATTGAAAGAATTAAGAGTAAGATGGAGAGCAGGATTGCAGATGAACTAGGTTTTAGAAAGGGCAGGGAGTGTGCAGACCAAGTGTTTACAGTGAAATATAGGTGAACAGTATTTAGATAAGGGTAGAGGCTTTTGTTACATTTATGGATTTGGAAAAGGCATTTCATAGGATGGATAGAAGGGCAATGTGGCAGATGTTACAAATGTATGGAATAGGTGGTAGGTTTCTGAAAGAAGTGAAGAGTTTTTACGAGGACAGTGAGACTCAGGTTATATTATGTAGGAGAGGGGATTATATCCCAGTAAAAGTACGCCTTAGACAGAGTTGCGAGATGTCACCATGGCGTTTAATACATTTACAGATGGGGTTGTAAGAGAAGTGAATGCTTGAGTGTTGGCAAGAGGTGTGAGATTAAAAGATAAAGAATCTAACACAAAGTGGGAGTTGTCACGATACTGTGCATTTGGGAGATTCTGAAGAGAAGTTGCAGAGGTTGGTGGACAAATTTGGTAGGGAATGTAAAAGAAGGAAATTAGAAGTGAACATGGGAAAGAGTAAGGTGATGAGGATAACAAAAAAAATTAGGTAATGAAAGACTGGATATCAGGTTGGAGTGTGGGAGTATGGAGGAAGTGAATGTATTCAGATATATGGGAGTGGGCCTATCAGCAGATGGGTCTATGAAAGATGAGGTGAATCACGGAACTGATAAGGGGAAAAAGGGGAGTGGTATAATGAGGAGTCTGTGGAGACAAAGAATGTTATCTATGGAAGGAAAGAGCGTAATGTATGAGAGTAAAGTTATACCAATGCTCTTATATGGGCGTAAAGCATGGATGGTGAATGTTACAACAAGGAGAAGGCTGAAGATTGAGACACTTATGCAGCATATGGGAATCTTTATTCAGGAAACGTTTCGCCACACAGTGGCTATCAGCCACTGTGTGGCGAAACGTTTCCTGAATAAAGATTCCAATATGCTGCATAAGTGTCTCAATCTTCAACTTGTCGGTTTTTCAAACCATTCATCACAAGGAGAAGGCTGGAGGCAGTGGATATGTAGTGTCTGAGGGCAATGTATTTATTTATTTATTTTATGTCTTTGCAAACAGTACATTGAGATTTTATATTTACAACAGTGAGTTGCAATGCAGAGAGAGCCTTTATTATGCCTAGGCATTATGGGCCAACTTAACATTATTGCTTACAGACTACTTAACACTAAGAATTTTATCATAGTTGTACAGTAGGACAGCAATTATTTCATAGTTGAGCAGTAGATTATTAATTATAAGTGAATTAAATTTGTATAAGACAAAGGATATATTCATATATTCTAAAATGCTTTTTGTGAAAACAATGGTTCAATTATTTTCCTGTCAACAATGGATAAAAGGTTCAAAGTGATTGTTGAAGTTATGATGTGGGAGTACATAGGTGAGTATGTGTGTACTGAGTATATAGCATTTAGTCTAGGGTGATTAAGTGGCTTTTGAGAAGAGTCTTAAACTGATTTTCAGACTGAGTTACTTTAATATCTTCTGGTAATGAATTCCATATTTTAGGGCCCTTTATGTGCATAGAGTTTTTACACAGTGTGAGAAGGACACGAGGTATATCAAAAAGAGATCTGTGTCTTGTGTTGTGGTCATGTGTCCTGTTTAAGTTGGTGAGGAGAAGTTTGAGTAGAGGGTTTATATTTGTGTGTATTGTTCTGTGTATGTAGTAGGCACATGAATAAGTATGGATGTTCTTAATGGTGAGCAGATTCAGACTTTTGAAAATGGTGGAGTGTGCTGGCAGGAGTGGGAATTCGTTATCATTCTTACTGCTGCCTTTTGCTGGGTTATGAGGGGTTTTAGGTGACTGGATGTTGTTGATCCCCATGCAAAAATTCCAAATGTAAGATAAGGGTATATGAGTGTATGGTATATAAGAATGGTATATAATACCGACAAGATGAAATTAAGATACATGTGCAACATCTGGGTATCTTTATTGTAGACATTTCGCCATCCAGTGGCTTTATCAATACAAATTCTAGGACATAACTTGAAGACAGTAGGACTATATACAGAAGATGAGATAATCAGTCCCTCAACCTAGGAGTAGGTGCGAAGAGCACCATAGTCGTAGAGAATCTGAAGCAGAAGCAAGGAGCCTGGCGCTTATGTAGTAACATCAGGTGTAGCAGATGAGGGCATAGTCACTGGTAGGCGGGATTCCCCAGTGTTATATACCATTCTTGCACAACTTGTCAGACACTGCAACATCATGGAATCTTGATTCTGAGGACATGCACATAACCTTCACGGCTACGACAACTACTACTACAACTAACCCATCTCTTTGGGAAGGACCTACTTCCACTGGGGAATCCCGCCTACCAGTGACTATGCCCTCGTCTGCTACACCTGACGTTACTACATAAGCGCCAGGCTCCTTGCTTCTGCTTCAGATTCTCCACGACTACGGTGCTCTTCGCACCTACTCCTAGGTTGAGGGACTGATTACCTCATCTTCTGTATATAGTCCTACTGTCTTCAAGTTATGTCCTAGAATTTGTATTGATAAAGCCACTGGATGGCGAAACGTCTACAATAAATATACCCAGATGTTGCACGTGTCTTAATTTCATCTTGTCGGTATTATATACCATTCTTGCACAACTCTCCGTCTTTTAATGCCACTAGGACCAGCTTGAGTCACTGGACCCCTGTCTCACAAAATAACTGTCCACAGTTCTCTGTTTCTGGTGCCTCTTTAAGATTTCCCTAAAATGGGACATGGTTCTGTCACTGAACTTGTCGCAAAGATGGCTTGTTTCAGCTTGCTCAGGGTGGTACTTCTCCACAAACATTTGGACATCATTCTACCTGGCACAAGTCTCCTTAATCTTTGAAGGAGGCACCTCATCCACTCCCTCTTCCTCCTCCTCTGAAGCAAGTTCCTGAGTTGTTGTCTGATACTGTTCCAGATGAAGCTCTTCCAGCTCTTCAGTGGTTAGCTCTTTCCTGTGGTCCTCCACCAACTCTTCCACATCCTCATCCCTCACTCCACATCTAAGGTGTTTCTTACTTTCTTTACCACAGGGGTACCACTAGCAAGTTTCTTTGGGCCCATGGTAGCTTATTTCACAGTCCCACACAATGAATTAATTGTAAAATGTTTAAATGAGACTGCAGGTTAGTGTTCACTCAAGCATCAACAAAGCCAGACTGGCTCACGGCGCCTGCGCAGGGACGTGGACAGAGCGGGCTGGCGGACAGGTCCAGTACTCGGCGGTTCGAAATGAGGGGCGAGTTCGATAATGGGGACAAAGTTGGTGTCACTAGCACGTTAAGAGACAACACAGTAAGTGTTAGGGGCCCAAGATTGTTCAACTGCCTCCCAGCATACATAAAGGGGATTACCAATAGACCCCTGGCTGTCTTCAAGCAGGCACTGGACAAGCACCTAAAGTCGGTACCTGACCAGCCGGGCTGTGGCTCGTACGTTGGATTGCGTGCAGCCAGCAGCAACAGCCTGTTTGATCAGGCTCTGATCCACCATGAGGCCTGGTCACAGACCAGGCTGCAGGGGCGTTGACCCCTGGAACACTTTCCAGGTAAACATCAGGGACATTATAGTACATAAGAGTCACTTTCTTTAAAGGATCAATTTCAGTGAAGTTACTCAGCACTTTCTTCTTACAAAAACTTACAAAATACTGAAAAATGATATACTGATACCAACAACATATGGAAGTAAGATTATTTTGGTAAGTAACTTTATTCATGTACAGGTACACATAAATACAGTTACATAAATTATCATATAGCAGCACATGTGTAGATTGCGTAGGATAACCCAAAAAAGTCAAGACAAAGTGACTTACTTCTATTGGGGGTCCTTGTCTTAGACTTGCCTAGCAAAGGCCAGTAGCCTTACTGCAGTGCTCCTTCTTACGTTCCTATGTTCTTATAAGTACAATTATCATACCTAGTAACATTTTTATTATTCTAATCAAATTAAGCACTATACCTGTAAGGGTCATAGTTGCAGATGAATGGTTCTGAGAACCGACATGTTGATAAATTAGACACATGTGCAACTCTTGGGTATCTTTATTGAGGAAACGTTTCGCCACACAGTGGCTTCATCAGTCCATACAAAGGAGTATCTTGAAGAACAGGAGGAGAATGAGGTAATCAGTCCCTCAACCTTGAGTCGATGTGGTCAGTCTATCAATCTTGAATAGAATACAGCATATGTGCGGAGAAGCAGCTTATATACCGTAGGCAAATGTGACACCACCTACTACTGCTGCACCTCTCCTGCCTACGATTTATAAACTGCTTCTCCGCACATATGCTGTATTCTATTCAAGATTGATGGACTGACCACATCGACTCAAGGTTGAGGGACTGATTACCTCATTCTCCTCCTGTTCTTCAAGATACTCCTTTGTATGGACTGATGAAGCCACTGTGTGGCGAAACGTTTCCTCAATAAAGATACCTAACTGTTGCACATGTGTCTAATTTATCAGGAGGATATGTTCAGGTGAACACTCAAGAGGTTCGTTCACCTGGATTTCCTACTCTTATTTCTACAACATTGTACGTTCCTGATGATGTGTTGATTGCAATAACAACTCCCTAGAGCTATCATTCAACTCCCCCTGCGGTTATTTTTCATAACAAATTAAATATTTACTGATGGAGGTTGTTGTGAGAGAAGAACACGTGTGTACCAGACTGCTGCTGTGTTGGGGTTGTTCAGGGCCACTACAACACACGCTTTATTGAACCCTATCACCCGGGAGTCCGACACAAAATTACTGCCTAAATCTGGCCGGGAATGAGAAAGGGAACAAACATTTTCCCTAGAAAGAGAAACGGCAGCACTAAATTTCCAACTTGGATCAGGTGGAGCCCAGGACTGAACACCAGTAGAGTCACTCCATGAGTGAACACCTCTGCGCTTCATCAACCTCCTGTTTTTCCACCTCATGTTGTGTTAATAATAATAATAATAATAATAATAATAATAATAATAATAATAATAATAATAATAATAATAATAACAACAACAATAATAATAATAATAATAATAATAATAATAATAATAATAATAATAATAATAATAATATCTTTATTTACTACAAGTACACTCTGTAACTTGCTCAGCTATCAAAACTTTGGAGTCCAGTCCCTGGACCAATTATGTACCTCTGTAATCTTTTGACTACCGCCCACAGGATGGGTATGGGGTGCATAATAAACATATTAAACTAACTAACTAACTACAAGTACATGTTATACAGTCCTAGCTGACATCACTGACATACTACTATACAGAAAGCACCTTGTTATGCTGAGCATTTCGGGCAAATTAGGTCAGTTTTGTCCCAGGATGCGACCCACACCAGTCCACTAACACCCTGGTACCCATTTTACTGATGGGGAACATAGACAACAGGTGTAAAGAAACACGCCCCATGTTTCTACTCTGGCTGGGAATCGAACCCAGGCCCTCGCCGTGTTAAACAAGAGGGTTAGCCACCAGAGCCTTGCAAAGCATTTCAGGCAAATTAGGTCAGTTTTGTCCCAGGATGCGACCCACACAAGTCGACTAACACCCAGGTACTCATTTTAAACTGATGGGTGAACAGGGACAGGGACAGCAGGTGTCTTACAGAAACACGTCCTTGTTTTCCAGCCGTACCGGAGGAGGAGATTTGAACCCCGGACCTCAGTGTGGGAGCTGAGTGCGCTAGCCATTGAGCTACGGGACACCCGTAGACACAAATACATATACAAATTTAATTCAACGTAATACATTGTTTACACAGAAATGGATGACACTTGAGTTCATGTTGAAGATTTAAGATAAGATAAGATAAGATTTCGTTCGGGTTTTTAACCCCGGAGGGTTAGCTACACAGGATAACCCAAGAAAGTCAGTGCGTCATCGAGGACTGTCTAACTTATTTCCATTGTGGTCCTTAATCTTGTCCCCCAGGATGCGACCCACACCAGTCGACTAACACCCAGGTACCTATTTGCTGCTAGGTGAACAGGACAACAGGTGTAAGGAAACGTGTCGAAATGTTTCCACCCGCCGGGAATCGAACCCGGGCCCTCCGTGTGTGAAGCAGGAGCTTTAGCCACCAGGCCACCGGTGGAAATCACTAGGGATAGGATAGGCCTACACAGGACAATAAAAATGAGGTCAACTAGAAACTACAGTAAAGAAACACTGGTAAATAGGCTACACATCTGTGACTGGACAGAGATAACAAGTTGCACGGACGTAAACGATGCCTGGGAAAAATTCAAAACAATGTTCACTACCATCCTTGATAATATTGCACCAGTTAAAGAGGTTAGGATTAAACGAAGAACTGAACCCTGGATGACTACTGAGATATTAGATAATATGAAATTCAGAGACCAGCTGCTAAAAATATTTAAAACAAACAGACAGGATATTGCAGCACTAGATGAATTCCAAAGGGTAAGGAACAGAGTGCAGAGACTTGTAAAAGGAGCAAAGGCAAAGCACTATTACCCAAAAATTGAAGAGTATAAGCATAACCCCAGAAAGCTCTGGCAACAACTAAAACATTTGGGGTATAGCTATTAACCAGTAGATATGTCTAATATGGTATGTACTCACTACCGATAACGAGGTATGCCACGAAACATCTAACGTGGCAAATTGCTTTAATTCCTACTACACATCTGTTGCATCAACACTAGTATGAAAACTACCAGCTGCATCAAATACCTTTAACACAGACTCTGATAAGTTTCAAACATACTATACCAATAAAGGGGTAACCTCAAACAGTTGTCAACTAGTGAGTGTTTCTCATGACTTCCTGCAAAAAGAACTAAGCAGGTTAAACCCAGTCAGCCCAGACAACATCCCGTCTAATTTTCTAAAAGATGGTGCCTCTGAATTGGCAACCCCCATTGCTCACATAATAAATTTGTCCATCACCAGTAATATTGTACCAGAGGATAAACAAAATACAGATGTAGTATACACAAACTTTGCGAAGGCTATCGACAAGTAGGATCATGGTGTAATAGCACACAAAATGCGGGATAAAGGAATAATGGGAAAAGTTAATAGATAGATCTACAACTTCCTGACAAATAGAACACAAAGAGTAATAGTAAACAGAGTAAAGTCCCAGACAGCCACAGTAAAAAGCTCTGTTACACAAGGCACAGTACTCGCTCCCATTCTATTCCTCATCCACATATCTGACATAGACAGAGATGTTAGCCATAGCTCCGTGTCTTCCTTTTCGGATGACACCCAGATTACCATGACAGTGACCTCCATCGAAGACACCGCGAAACTCCAAGTGGACATCAACCAAATCTTCGAATGGGCCACTCAAAACAATATGAAGTTCAACGAGGAGAAATTTCAACTACTCAGATATGGAAAACTTGAAGAAATTAAAAATGTGTCAGGGTATACAACAAATTCTAACCATACAATAGAACGGAAAAGTAATGTGAAGGACCTGGGAGTGATAATGTCAGAGGATATCGCCTTCAAAGAACACAACAATGTATCTACCTCATCTGCTAGGACAATGATGGGATGGATAATGAGAACCTTCAAAACTAGGGATGCCAAGCCTATGATGATTCTCTTCAAATCGCTTGTGCTCTCTAGGCTGGTATACTGCTGTACACTAACGGCCCCTTTCAAGGCTGGAGACATTGCAGACCTGGAGAGTGTACAAAGAACTTTCACGGCACACATAAATACGATAAGGCACCTAAACTACTAGGAACGGTTGAAGGTCATTGATCTGTATTCCTTAGAATGCAGGAGAGAGAGATGCATGATAATATACACTTGGAAGGCCCTGGAGGGATTGGTACCCATCCTGCACACGAAAATCACTCCATATGAAAGCAGAAGACTTGGCAGGAGATGCAACATTCCCCCGATGAAAAGCAGGGGCGCCACGAGTACACTGAGAGACAACACAATAAGTGTCTGGGGACAAAGACTGTTCAATTGCCTCCCAGCTTACATAAGGGGGATTACCAATGAACCCCTGGCTGTCTTCAAGAAGGCACTGGACAGGCACCTAAAGTCAGTACCTGACCAACTGGGCTGTGGTTCGTACATCAGCTTGCGTGCGGTCAGCAGTAACAGTCTGGTTGATTAGACCCTGATCCACCATGAGGCCTGGTCTCAGACCGGGTCGCGGGGGCGTTGACCCCCAAAACCCTCTCCAGGTAAACTCCAGGTAACTCCAGGGGTTCAAGGAGGCCAGAGTTACTCCTATCTTCAAGAAAAATTGTAGGTCTGATGTCAGCAACTATAGGCCTGTTAGTATACTCAGTGTAATATCCAAAATTCTAGAGAGAGCGGTGTACTGTCAAGTAGTTAAGTATCTTAATGACATCAACATTCTTCATAGTTACCAATCAGGCTTCAGGAGATCTTGCTCAACCAACACCTCCCTAATTAATCTGAAGGATTACATGAGAACTGAAACGTAGATAGGGAACCTCATAGGAATGATAACCTTAGACTTGCAAAAGGCTTTCAATATTTTTAACCACAATATATTATGTAAGAAACTTCAAGCTATCGGCATAGGCTTCGTAGACTGGTTTAAATCCTATCTTAACAATAGGAAACAAACTGTAAAAATCGCCAAAACAGAATCAGAAACCCTGCCGATAGCATGTGGAGTTCCCTAAGGTAGTATTCTGGGTTCTTTGTTATTCCTATGCCATGTTAACGACATGCCCATCAGTGTCAAGTGCAAACTCCTACTGTATGCAGATGACAGTGCTCTGTTAGTGTCAGGTAAAGACCCACAAGTTATAGCTAATGTATTAACACTGGAACTGGAGTCCTGCAGCAAATGGTTAGTAGACAACAAACTATCATTACACCTAGGGAAAACTGAAGTCATTCTCTTTGTCATGAAACATAAACTGAGAAGGGTAAATAATTTTAATGTCCAGTGTAATGGGGAGCTCATCACTTCAGTTTCCTCAGTAAAATATCTGGGAATCCCTTTTGACCTTAGCATGTCAGGTCCAATCTCTCCCTGCTCCATGAGCCTTATCGTACCTCTTCTTAAAGCTATGTATGATTCCTGCCTCCACTACATCACTTTCAGGACTGTTCCACTTCCTGACAACTCTATGACAGAAGAAATACTTCCTAACATCCCTGTGACTCATCTGAGTCATCAATTTCCAACTGTGTGCGTGTAGTAACAGGTGTTCCGACAAGGACACGTGTATCAGCTCATATTTTTCTTACACCGTCCCTCATCCTGACAAAATATACAACTTATAATTAAGACCACTGCTGCAGGGAGGCTAGCGGTGTCTGACAGTCAAGTGTGTTCACAGGTGTGATAGTCCATCCAACGATGCCACCAGCCAGTTAATTTTGGTAGGTTTTTCCTAGGGGGGAAAAACATTCATTGTCGATCTGGATATAACAAACCACGAAAGTAATGCTCGCCCTCTCTCGTAGTTTACTAATATTAATTTTTAAAGGAGTGTTTACCTGGAGTTTAACCTGGAGAGAGTTCCGGGGGTCAACGCCCCCGCGGCCCGGTCTGTGACCAGGCCTCCTGGTGGATCAGAGCCTGATCAACCAGGCTGTTACTGCTGGCTGCACGCAAACCAACGTACGAGCCACAGCCCGGCTGGTCAGGTACCGACTTTAGGTGCTTGTCCAGTGCCAGCTTGAAGACAGCCAGGGGTCTGTTGGTAATCCCCCTTATGTATGCTGGGAGGCAGTTGAACAGTCTCGGGCCCCTGACACTTATTGTATGGTCTCTTAACGTGCTAGTGACACCCCTGCTTTTCATTGGGGGATGGTGCATCGTCTGCCAAGTCTTTTGCTTTCGTAG